CACTTACAGCACAAGGGGTAGGGACAGTCGGTCCTGTTCCCCAGCCACAGAGCGGTGTATCCAGAGGGGAGACAGTCGGTCTCTCCCTCCCACAACCAGGCTCCCACCAGGCTACTTCCGTGGTAGCACTGGCATCAGGGCAGAGTACCGCTGGTCTCTGCCCACTCAGCAACCCACCAAGGCAGCCTAACAGTTGCCCACACAGTCGTGGTGAGGCACCTGGACATGGACAAAGTTCTCCTCTACCCAGGTGTAGTAACCAGTTATTGTGGGTGGGCTGTACTGCTGTTTCTGTTTTGTGGGTGGGTTGCTGGACTAACCAGGGCACTGACCGGCAGGAGGTCAGATACCCTGTTAGTCTAGTTGGTAAAGGGGAGAAGTGTGGCGAAACCAACCTCGCCACTGTGAACTGGAGAAGCCTGGTTGCTCGCCTGCTCCCTTTGGACTATGGCCCTGCAGGTTAAACTGTTTATTTCCCCTGCAGAAAGGCTTATTTGTGTGATCTGAGTGCCATTCATCTAATAATGTGCACTCAGATCCCAGCTATCTGGGGATATGTGAAATGTCTGTGTGTTATGTGTAAATGTGACTTTATGTATTCTAAAGTGTTTTGTGTCTTTTTGCAACCATGTGCTTAATGGAGTCTTGTGTCTATCCTGGGAGATAATTGAATTACTTCTCCAGGATAGAAGACTCTGAAACTGGTTTGGGCCAGAAAGCCATGCTTCATTTAGTCACAAAGGACTTTTTACTAACTTTTGAACCCCTTGTCTGATTTGTGCCATTTTGAATATGTTGTTCCCCTGAATGGATTGATTGTGCATATGTAATTTTATGTGAATGTGATGTATGGTTTTAGAGTTATGAAAGTTGGGTAGAAAGTATGTTTTAACTGTATGTATAATTGAGTTTCCTCTCAGGATAAAGGGAGGGAATATGTGGGATGTAACTGTGATGTGATTGGTTGTTTTGTAACGCCCTGTGGGCTGTACTATGTTTGTGGATTGGGAATAAAAGAGACTGTATGTGACAGTACAGGGAGTTCCTGTTTTAACCCTCAAAGTGAAGTGTCGTCTCATTATTGGGGGAAGGATTTATTGTATGCTGTTCCAGTTTGACTGCTAGGAGAGTAAACCTATTCGTATGGTTCCTATTCAACTGTCTACAGCATTCATATGCTTGGGAGGATTCATATGCTTCTCCGGTTCGGTGGTTGTGGTGTCTGCTGCAGTGCTTGGAGTCCTCAGGAAGCGCTAGGAGCATCCTTTAACGGAGGTACCCAGTCGGGGTGCCAGGCGATCCGTTACACTCAGTTACAGGCAGACAGTCAAACACAGTCACAGGCAGACAATCACACATACACATTTCCTCCATGCGGCCAGTTTATGAGCTGTTTGCTTGTGTGAGCTGTACTGGCCGCACGGCACCCTAACTACCATGGGACACTGTGTGGCCACAGCTCACACAGCCCCCTCCAGCCAGGGCCGGTGCAAGGATTTTTGCTGCCCTAGGCAAAAGTAAAGTTTGCCGCCCCCCCATGTGACATCACAATGCCCCACCCATATGATTTGCCATGTAAACTAACGCCAGTGCTGCAGTGCCACCATGTTTACATTAAAAGGCCTGCAGGGACAGGCTATAGACACCAGAACCACTACATTAAGCTGAAGTGGTTCTAGGGACTATAGTGTTTCTTTAATGTGAGGTAAATTAGAGCTTAGTGCCACGAATAATATACTAGATTGCCTACTTACAACCAGATGAGGATGATGATGGGCTCTAGCTGCAGTCTGGCTCCACGGGTCTGGTGTAGAACAGGATCTCTGGAGGCTGTTTGTAACTGTGGTCACAAAATCAATGTTCTGGGAGAACGGGAAGCAGCTCCATTTTTTTGGGGTCCTTTACACAGCTCAAGGTCTGGGTCCCAGGGTCCACCTTCATGTTCCACCAATGAGTTTGTTCACAGGGGGTGGAGTGTGTAAGGGATGTCCTGATATGTGTGTAAGAAATGCATTGTGTGAAATTGTGTTTGTATGTGTAAGGGCTGCAAGGTGTGTTTCTGTGTATGTATGGGATGCATTGAATGTGTGTAAGGGGTGCATTGAGTGTGTGTAATGAATGCATTGTGTGTTTCTGTGTGTGTAAGGGATGCATTGTGTGTAACGGTTGCATTGCTTGTGTATGTGTGTCTGTGTGTGTAATGCATTGTGTGTTTTTCTGTGTGCAAGGGGTGCATTGTGTATGTGATGAATGTCAATCTCTCCTCCCGCTCCAATTTCCTTCTCCTCCTCCCAATTTCTCTTTCTCACCCCCCCTCCTAATTTCTCTCCCCCTCAATTTCTCTCCCCCTCCTAATTTCTCTCTTTCTCTCCCCCCCTAATTTCTCTTTCCCCCTCCTAATATCTCTTCCCCCCTCCTAATTTCAATTTCTATCCCCCCCTTCTAATTTCAATTTCTCTCCCCCCTAATTTCTCTTTCCCCCTCCTAATTTCTCTTCCCCCTCCTAATTTCTCTCTCACCCCCCCTCTCCTTTCTCTTTCTCTCCCCCTCTCCTTTCTCTTTCTCTCCCCCCCTCCTTTCTCACTTCCTTTCTCACCCCCCCTTTCTCACCCTCCCTCCTTTCTCACCCCCCTTTCTCCTCTTTCTCACCCCCTCTCCTTCTCACCCCTTTCTCCTCTTTCTCCTTTGCTTCTCCTCTTTCTCCCACCCCCCAACTTTTCTCCCTCTTTCCTCCACCCACCTTCTCCTTCTCACCCCCTTTCTCCTTCTCACCCCTTCTCCTCTTTCTCACCCCTTTCTCCTTCTCACCCCTTTCTCCTCTTTCTCACCCCCCCTTTCTCCTCTTTCTCACCCCCCTTCCCCCCAAGCTTTGCTGTAGCGTGGCCGAGCCCAGTATAGTCCGCGGGTACAGGGAGCATCTGTTTCCTGTACCGGGCCGGACTAACAGGAAGTGAACACTCTGTGTGCACTTCCTGTTAGTCCGGCTGGGTACAGGAGACAGCTGCTCTCTGTACCCGTCGGACCATGCTGCAGGGCTCGGCCACGCTACAGCAAAGGAAGTTGACAGGAGGGGAGCGCTGAGCGCTTCCCTCCTGTCAGCCTCTCCCCATGCTGCGCCCAGGCGGTGCGGTCCGCCCTCGTGGACGCACTGCCCGGGAAAAGCTGCAGCCGCCTGAGGCTCTCTACAGAGCGCTTGGGCGGCTGCAGCATGGGGGTCATGGCACCCCCCCACCCCCCCCTTAGTACGCCACTGCATACAAGTACATAATACATTAAATATATCAGTAGATAAACCCATAAAAACAATCCAACATTAAAATATACAGGAGTGAAATTAATACTTAGCTGGTCTGAGGACAGTACTAAGCAAGGCATTTATGGACTGTTCCTACTAAGCTGATTGGCTGCCCTGTTACTAGGCAGATCTGGTTGTACCTGTTATTATTATTATTGCATATCTACATTTTGTCTCTTTCAGTTTTATATTTCTCTTTGCTGCTGAGGAATAAAGTAAGAAAGAGATAGCATAATAGGAGCCTCCGTGTCATTAATAAAATCACACTTTTTTGTGCTCAATAGTACATTTGCGGCCTGCGGTGCACTTCATATCTGAAAGTCAAATAGAAGCGTCAAATACTGTGGTTACATCGCACTTTAACAAATTCTCATTTTTTTCTCCTAAAAAGTACATTAGTGGGGTGCACTTCATATCTGTCAGTCAAATAGAACCGTCAAATACTGCTGTGACATTGCAGTTTTAAAAATTAACCTTTTTTGGTGCTAAAAAGTCAATTAGTAGGGTGCACTTCATATATGGGAGTCAAATAGAAGCGTCAAATACTGTGTTTACAGCGCACTTTTAAACATTCAAATTTTTGGGGTGCTAAATAGAACATTTGGGGCCTGCACTTCATATCTGAGAGTCAAATAGAAGCATCAAATACTGGGGAGGCAGAGCTAGCGCCCAGCGAGATCGGACACACAACAGCATCTCTCCCTGCCAGGAAGCATTAACGTCTTAAATACTGCCGACGCAAACCCTCAAACGACCCAACGGTCGGAAAGAGCGCCCACACCGATGGGGAGGAAAAATAAAAAGCCGCAAGCGGATTAGCTGCGGTTTACAGCGGACATAGGAGACTTGCTGAGGAGACCGCATGGCGCGGTCCAATATAGCGGCCGAGTACGACTTCACTGACAGTTCTGAAGAGGCCCCATTACACAGCCCAGGTACGCTAGGGTATAAAGGGCCCCCCAAGCCTCCACAACAGACAGCAGGCTTCTCTCACCCAGTCACCACGGAGGTAATCACTAACCTCCTCACAGACCTCCGCCAAATACTGAAATAACCCAGGTGAGAGAGACATCAGGGGGTTCACTGCCCTCCTTTCTGCAGTGGAGCAGACCTCCCAAACAACCTTAACACAGGTCCTGGCACTAGAGAAGCAGTTCACCGACCTGATAGTTGCTCACACTACTCTCACCCACCAACTAGCATCTATGGAAGATAAACGACGGTGGAAACATGTACAAATCAGGGGCCTCTCTGATGGAGTTCTCCCAGCAGAACTGCCTCACTTTATACGAAGGCTATTCGCGGCCCTCTTATCCCCCAGGCAAGCGGAGGGAATACAACTAGATGGGATATTCCGCCTGCCCAAACCATTAAAACCCTCAAGTGCAACTACCAGCGATCTACTGATCAAGTTCCAAAACAGGCAGGACAGAGCAGCCTTCATGAGTGCCACCAGTGGGGAAAAACACCTATAGATTTAAAGACATGGAACTGTCATTCTACTCTGACCTCTCTCGCAATACTCTGCTCTGGAGGAAATACCTCCATCCGCTGACAACTACGCTGGCAGCTAGGGGAGTGAAGTACCGCTGGGGACCTACGTATGTACTCCTCATTCAGCACCAAGACACGGAACATAAGGTGGCGGACATTTCTGAAATGGACACTGTCCTGGCGGCCTTGGGCCTCACAGCCCCACCCTCCTCTACAACCTAGGACCCAGCTAAAACTGACCCATTCATCCCCACTTCACAGGGAGGACCTGGGAGGCAGACCACCTGACTCATAAGCCTATACATTCTTTATATGTTACTACTCTCTATGTTGGACTTAGCCCTCTGTTAAATGTTGACTATGTGACAAACATTTAGAAAACTACACAAAGTTATAACCCGACCACTCACAGAGGCCAAACACGGTCAAGACCGGGAATTTCCCCGGACACGCTGGCTTATTTTTAATAACCACCCCCTCAGCTCCCATCAAATGCATGCATCATGCGCATTCCACGGAGGAGCTGTACATGTACGCATTCGGACGCAAATCAGACCAACCTAACCAAACACCACGCTCACCACAATAAGTGCCATGTATTCACCCTCTTTTAATAACTACACACCGGAGCTAGCAACATGGCTTGAAGCTCTACCTTACCTTCTCACAGAGGTACACGACTCCATCACCTACAACCCATACACGATTCATAAGAGCTCAGTCCCAGCACACGAGGGTCAACCAATCAATCCATCTCTGAGCCTCTGACACACATACTCTACAGACCCATTAATTGCCCCGCAGTACCTATACTACAACATTCTGTGCTTACTTGCTCTGTTTAACCTCATTTAAAAATGTGCAGATTTCTCAACTGTCATGATAAAGACTAAAGTTATAATACCTGTGTAAGGAAACCAAGTACATTTAAACCTTAATCGGTAGTTTCCTCCCGAACAGCCAGAGCCCAGTGAATATAGCCCTCCGTTCAGTAGTTATAGCAGACGAATTCCCAATTGTAAATCCAATAGTGTTCCTGGATAATTCCCACAGTAAAACACACGAACTCCCAAACAGCATACGTAGTCAGAACAAGGGTACAAAGATGAACTGAGGTTTAATGACAGGCATGCTCTTTTTATGGAATTCAGCCCATGCAAGGGAGCCTCCCATATAATTAGCCATACATCCAATCCTAACAATATACATACTGTACATCTCCTCCCCTCAGATAACCATTAAACACAATTAAAACATAACAGAAATTCCCCAAAGTTTGGATGTACCCCAAGTAAGCTATTGTCTGGGAGACCAACATATTAAAATCTCAGGCCATTCGGTTCAGCCGTTCGGGAGATATAGGACTTAGAGTTTTGACCGACTGCACGGGCAAAGTAGCCGAAAACAGTTCCATGAATTCTGGCCCTGCAGTCGGTCTTAGATCGCATGAAAAACCTCCCGAACGGCCGGCCATCCAGCTACCATCCTTGGTTCGCTGGATTCCCCATCTGTTGGTAAGTCTTTCTACTGAACGCCCGGTCGTTCAGTAGTTTGGAAGGGGTTTTACCGAAGGTCTGGAGGCTTCAGCAGTTCCAGACATTCAATGGCAAACACCGCTGTTCGGGAG